TCTGCTTTTGCAGTACAAGCAGCAGCTGTGCTAGACAAAATAATCCAAATTCTCACATGTACTTTTCCTTTAGGAAATAGCTCACACTGAATTGCATTTCTGATGTGACTAGTGCTACACCTGAGTGAGTTTGTGCTGAAAACATATTTTATGCAAATATAATTTTTAACCGATATAATCTTTCGTGACTTTCAAGTGCATTTGTCCTATCAAAATAATGGTCTTACTTTTCATGCTGAAATTATTACCAAATGGATTCTGTGGGCAGCAAAGTACTCTTTGCTCGTTCGGCAATGATTTTCCTATACCTCAAATTACATAATTTTATAGGTGCTCTGTTTCAAAGGAAAACAATCTTTATTGATCCAGGCAGTCAGAGCTAATCATGGATCTCTGATCTCAAAACTCCTGGCAAAATCCTTTTATTCAGAACACCCATATGCCAGACGCTCGACACTTCACAGATCCTTGTGGGATGATGGGTTTTTCAAACAGTCTGATTGTTCAATCTAGTGTGGCTTCTGAAAGTGGAGATTCAGCAAGGCTTTCCCCTGAGCAGAGGCAGGCCCGGCCAATTTTATGAAGAGTTAAATTTGACCCAGCTTTGGGCGCCTGGGTGGCTCAGTTGGTTAAGCGACTGCCTTCGGCTCAGGTCATGATCCTGGAGTCCCGGGATCGAGTCCCGCATCGGGCTCCCTGCTCGGCGAGGAGCCTGCTTCTCCCTCTGACCCTGCCCCCTCTCATGTACTCTCTCTCATTCTCACTCTCTCAAATGAATAAATAAATTTGAAAAAAAAAAATTTGACCCAGCTTTTACTTCAAATTGTCATCCTTGTTCTTGGTAACTTAAAAATGGATTTCAGAAGTTGTTCTTTCCATGTGTTTGATAGAAGACCCTGGAGTAGTAGGTGTGCATGGATCACAGCAGGAGCAGAAGGCAGTGGTGCCAGGATGCCATGCTAGGCAAATAAACACTAGCAGCCTGAGGTCGTTTGCTCCTTGAACAGATTCCGTGAGAGACAGTCATGGAAAGCTAGCTCCCAGTAGAAGAAACTAAAGTTCCCCACAGAGCTTACATAGGAGTTGACATGTATTTTCAGGTTACCAAGTAAATTGGTTATTGGAAGCTTTACCTCAGGGGCGCCTGGGTGGCTCCGTCGCTTAAGCATCTGACTCTTGGTTTCGGCTCAGGTCATGATCTCAGGGTCTTGAGATCGAGCCCCGCTTTGGGCTCTGCGCTCAGGGAGTCTTCTTCTCTCCCTCTCCCTCTGCCCCCTCGCCCCCTTGCTCATGCGTGTGTGTGTGTGTGCACGCTCCCTCTCTCAAATAAATAAATACATCCTTAAAAAAAACGTTTTACTTCATTCTACATGAATCAAGGTGGAGGGGTCGTGCTATATCAAAAGATTCAGACAAGGTCTTTAATTTACATACAACTTCTCCTGTGCCATTTTGTAATGGCATCTGCTGAGATCATTTCCTAATGGGCAATTTAACTTTTCAAATTTTACTTTACGCTAGGAAATCCTTTACAAGTCACAGAAATATGCCAAGAAATTCTTTTGCCAGAACCATTTCCCAGAATAATAATTTCCTTTGATTTCACAAAAGATTTTCCTCCTTTTTTTCCCTTTAGTAGATCATCTATTTAGGGGTTCAGGTGAGAGCTCTCAGGAGAGAATCTATTCTGTTTGATCTGTAGAATATACTAGTCCTCTCGCTCAAAAACCAACCAAATAATCTTATTATCTATTTGCATCCTCTCTCTCTCATCTCTCTGCTTTTGGTTTAATACTGTGTACCAGGCTATAACATAAGAAACGCAAGTCTAAATAACCAATTTTTTTCCTGGCCATTGGGTAACACAGTCTTGGTGAGATAACATATTGGTAGTGGGTTTGCCTGTCACCATGGCCTCCTCGGCACCCAGAGCAGTGTCTGCCCCAGTAGGTACTTAGTAACAAATATTTGTGAATTGAGGCTCTCATTTGGCTGCTTTCTTTATACATAATCTGTCATCTAGATGCATCTTTCACTCTGCTCGTGATTTTTTTTCACTCTTGGGGGAGTTCCTCTAAAGATATTCAGCCTTTTTTTGAGTGGTTAAATTTCCCTTTCCTCTTCAGACTTACTTTCCTCCTGGTCTTTTGTTAGAAACAACTTTTCCCCCCTCCTGTACTTCTTTATTGTCTATTGCTTTTCTTACATCTTTTCTCTTTTAAAATGGACTCTCTTGCTTTCATTTGTCAGATTTTTTTTTTCCCTCCTTTTATTCTCTTTCATGTTACCACATAGGCTGGGCTGAGTTACTGGGACAGCTGCTCTCTGTGACCTCCTCCACGCTGTGCTGACCACATCACCAGCTGGCAGGGTGTGGCACCTTAAGGCCTTCCAGGAGTCTTGCTATCAAATGGAAATAATGGAGTAACATTTTTGAGTTATAATTTAGGATCTCTATGAGAGAATTCCAGTAATGTTAAGCATTTTAAAGCAGATGTACTATATATATATATATATATATATATATATATATATATATTACTTAAATGATTAGTAAAATTCTGAATCTTAAAATCAGTCTATTTCATATAGAAGCTGTGTGTGAATACACAATTCAGATAAAGGTCACTGGTTAATAACGGCATCTGAAAGAAGCCCTTCCACCTGGAAGTGTATGCTTCTTCCAGGAAGCTATTCTTAATAGAAGACTGTCTTTTAAAACGCAGAAGAATTTTTTATCATATTCCTATTGTCTTTTGACTTGTACAGTTACTGAATTGAGCCAAATCCTATTCCTCCACTGGCTTATTCCTTCTCAACTACATATACACACAAGTATATACATATGCTCATGCTGTAGTGGGAAAAATAGTGGGGTTTTTTTTGGCTTATTTGTATCGTTAGGAGGATATCTATTTTTCCCTGTCATAGGAATAGAGGTTAGTTTGGTTTTGCTTCAAAATATGTGGGACTAGAAGCAGAGTACAGTTGATCAGTGCTGAGAAACATTTCTCTTTGTTTTGATTTGAGAACCCAGTGGGCCGTTTTTTGCCACTTCCATTCTTCTCCATTTCATCACAACCTTCTCATCAGCTGCTGTGCTGTAAAAACATGTGTGGATAGTTTCTGGTACTTCCATGGGGGGAAGCCTGACTGCTTAGGGGAATGCACAGGGTAGAGGGAGGTCCTTTACACCCTGTAGCCTGCAGGACAAATCACTGAAATCCTCTTAGATTTTAGAGGGGAATATCCTGAGCTGTTCTGAAATCTCAAAAGGACTAACAAAGTTCATTCCATTTGTCATTGAAATGTGACAGTGATATAGAACAAAACCTTTCCGCAGTGGGGGCTGGCTGCACCGAATTCCTTTTGCAACAAGGAAATTAGGTCAGAAGAAATTTAGGTCAACACCTTACAGAAATGCCCCCATGCCTGAAAGGAGCCAGGAGAACTTAAAATGTTACAAACAGAAAGGTTATTGTTTTTATATTTAATTTGAAAAATGGTACCTTCCAAATCTTAGTGTGATACAAACTCAGTTATGATTCAGCAAAGAAAATTACCTCTTGCATCATTAGCGCTGCTCCTGATAAATCAAGGGGCAATCCCGAGGTACTTCTAACCAAACCCAACCCAGTCGACCCAGTTTAATCATGCAATTCAAGAAATATTTATCAAGTGTTCATTATGGTCAATGAACCTATTAGATAATTTAAAGGTTATAAAGATTAATAAGCATCCTCCTCCCCCACCAACTCCATCTTTGCCATTAAGAAGCTTATAAGCTAAAGAGGAGTAGAAAGTTAGGGGTACACGAAAGTGCAATATAACCTATAATTCATTGATTCTCTCATCATACGGTAAATGAGCTCCTACGTGCCAAAACCCATGAAAAGTGACATACAAGAGTTAAAGCAAATTGATTCTGGATGAATAGGAGGAAGAGATTGGGTCAATTTGGGGTGGGCAGGAAGGAATAATTTCTTGAGAACAGGGCAATTTGAGTGAACTTCAAGTGAGTCTAATTTCAGCAGATGGTGACCTGCAAGAGATGCCTGTGCAGAAACAGCACACGGGGTACCGGGGGCGTCTGCAGCCCAGGAGGGGACAAAAGTAGAGGCAGTGGCTGGGAGTTCACGAAGAGAGAACAGTATGTGCAAAGACAAATAGGTAGAAAAGAACTGGGAGTTCACGAAGAGAGAACAGTATGTGCAAAGACAAATAGGTAGAAAAGAACTGGGAGTTCACGAAGAGAGAACAGTATGTGCAAAGACAAATAGGTAGAAAAGAACTGGGAGTTCACGAAGAGAGAACAGTATGTGCAAAGACAAATAGGTAGAAAAGAACTGGGAGTTCACCAAGAGAGAACAGTATGTGCAAAGACAAATAGGTAGAAAAGAACTGTGTTGTATCTGAGGGACAGCTAATGATCCATTCAGACAACGCTGAGCACAGAAAACAGAAGTGGAAGTCATTAGAAAGGTAAATCGGAATCCTATTTAGAGGTACCTGGAATGCCAGCATTCATAGGGCAAACCATTCTCTGCCCCTGGATTCTGGTGACTTTCATGGCTCTTCTGACCAATTAGGTGGCTGTTTGAATAAGTCGAGCCATGTTAAACCATAAATCGTGACCCCTCCTCGCGTTCTCCATGTCTCTAGCTATAAGGTTTCTTGATCAACATTTTATGCTATAAATGTAGAGCATATATTTTCAAAAAGAAACAAGTAGAACTTTACTAAATCTACTTTTAAAAAGTATCTTAACTGAAGTCTAATTTGGTGTTTGGCCAGTTTAAACGAACAAAAAAAATGAATGAGAATTATAAAAAGTGAGCATATTTTTTATTTTCATTGCTTATGTGGCCACCTTCTCACTACATACATCAGTTAGCAAAGTCTGCTTTCAGCAGTGGAAACTTCATTATCACATCTAATTCTGGTATGGTAGCACATTAAACTTTCAAAGAGTTAATGACTCTGGTTTTCTTTCTGTTCAGCTTCACCTTTCATAAAAGTACCGGCAAGAGGAAAGAAATGACAGTAAGACTGAATTATGAACTTTAAAAAGTTGAGAACAAGTACCTACTTGTACTGTGAAAGCTGCTGTCTCTGCTCTTGATGAACTGTCTGCAGTAGGTCAGTGGTGAGCACCGCGTGCCGTGGCGATGATTGTTGTAGCAGGCAGGCAGGTGGGGGACCCAAAGAGAGGAGTTTCTTTTAGTCCTCTCTTTAATACGGGGATTATCCAAACTCTGCTTTAATAAAATGGCTTATTTCCTAGACTTGCTTCCAATATCATCTGTAGATCATAATTAGCTTTGTGTGTGTGTTTGTGCTGGGGTGGGGGCTGTGAGAGGGAGAGGTATGTGTGTGTGTATGTGTGTGTGTAAATATATGTATATATTTCACTGTATATATGAGATTATCTATATGCACAGTTTCATCTATAATACACACACATAGATACACACACATACACAGTGATTTAGATATTGATCTCCTATTGAATTTTCTCCATAGAGGTAAGTACTAATATCCCTCTCTTAGACGAACTTGAGGTCAGAGCAGTTAACTAAATTATAAGTTAGGTAACTTGCCCAAAGTCAAAAAGCTGGAAAGTAGTGGAATTCCAACCCAGGCCTGACTGAACCCCATAGTCCAGAACACACACTTACTACTCTCTTTTTCTCTTCTCCCCTTGCTCCTTGCCTTCCTCTCATTCTTCCCTTTCTGGTCTTTTACTGAAGAATCAAATGATTCACAAAGGAAATATAATAAAATAATTAAAAATGACTTAAATCCATTAAAAAGATATCACATAGCCAAAGGGAAGACTGGGATAAGAATGAAAACACAGTGAGACTAGATGTGAATTTAATGACAATGATGACTGATTTCCTAGCAGCCACGCTGAAGAAAGTAACTAGAAGAGCCATTCATCTCACAAACCAGTTACTCAGAAGTGATGAAAACAATGTCACCATTTATACAGCTTGTTTTTTATGGTGGTCTTTGGTTATGATATTTGGTACAAGCCTCGGATGATCTGGCTTAATTTCTTACTTTATCTGTATAATCTCATGTATAGGTTCATGCATGGTGCCCACACAGACATCTTGGCACAAAGAAACAAAATATTGAGGAATGGGTCCATACCTCAGACCTAGTGTTCGTCCTTCCTGGAGAGACAAGCAGTCACCTCTGAGAAATAACCGTCGAGTAAGGGGCCCAATCTAGGACACTGCTGAGAATCTTTATCGAATGTGTTCTCTTTATTTAATTGCCCCATCATAACCATGCCACAGGCATGTATGTTTGCGTGGGCCTCTGCCTGGGTGTGTCTCACAACACACTGTTCTTTGTCTTTTCTCCTTTTACCTGTCATTAACTGTTTATTATTATTCTCACTGTAGTGCATGAGAAAGCCTTTCTGCATACGTGCAGTTATTTCACACTTCTATACAGTTTTCATCTAGATCTTTCCACATTCTGGGAATGGAGTGTTTGCATCAGGAATGAACAAATCACAAATGAACGCCATTTTGTGTTTTGGTTACATGGGATGACTCAGAGAGATGAGTGTTTTCAAGAAGAATTTGCAGACTAAAGATCTGCTATATGGAGTAGAAAACTAAGGTAAGACCTTCGGTCTAATCCTAGCTGCAAATGTTGTTAAGCTTGCTTTTAGTTTGTAAAGAAAAAAGTGGACTTTAGGCTAATTTTGTTTGATTATTTGCAATAGTTTTTCAAGGGACTATGATAAGATAATTTTCTCTCTTGTCTGCCTTCATATACCTACTCTATAGGGAATAATAATTATAGGAAAAATTGCTTTTCTTCTTTATTAAATCCAATTTAATAAAAACTTGCTGTCTAGAAAAAATTCTAAAAATGAGTTTTACTGGCCTGATTTGTTTTTACAGAAATAGTGTCAATCCAATAGAACTGAAAGAGAGATCAAAATATTCTTAACATCCATTCTGAATCCAACATTCTCCAATAAATCAGAGAATCAGGCTCCATAAAAACCACTAAGCAAACTAGGTCACAGATAACAAGGTAGCAATTAAAATGACTGTATCAATTATTTGGTTATATTATTTCCTAATATTTCACTCTGTAGGATATTTTATATAGGACCTCCTTTTAATACTCTGTTTTAAAGAGAAAACTATTTTTTAACATAAAAAAACTATTTATAGAATCATTTAAAATATGATGAATGGAAAAAGAGCATCATTAAGAAAGAGGTGGGGGAAATTACCAGCAAACTCTCGTTTAGAAATCTCTTCAACTAAATTATAGTTGATGTGGTAAATAACAAATTTAATATGTTGCCTTATGAATACCATTTGGAACATTCTAGTTTCCCTTATCTCTGTTCTAGGAAATACGCTTCCTCCAAGAGATGATTTCCTGCTGCATTTTGCATCCGTGCTTTTTCCATTGTATCTTCCTTTCTTAAGCCTAGATTGACCTATTAATTTAAAAGGCTGGATCTTTCCTAGTGTGCTCGGAAACCCAACCTGAGTAACCAGACACTTGCACAAGTGATTTTATCGAGTGTGTTCTGTTTATTTGACTGTCCCTACTTGCTCCTTATAATTAAATTCTTATGCCCACCAAAGGACGACACCATGTGCTTCGTATTGTCCTACCGGACATCGAAATGGATTGTTTATAACGTTTCCACCATTACCAAACCTCTTTGTGACCTTTTGGAGCTGCTTGCCCTGAACTTACGGACATCTGTTTGGCTGTAGGATGGAAGTCAATAGGAGGGAGGGTTTCAAAACTTGAAAGAGCTGAGTAAGATTTCACTGACTTAGCATTTGTCCTCTTTGCACTATGGTTCACTGGCACAGTTTTTCTAAAAGGGAAGCATTAGGGAAAGTTTATTCTGTCAGATTCCATGCTGCATGCTGGAGCCTACAGATTTGGCCCTCGCTCTTGGGGAGTTCACGTTCTTTTGGGAAGGAAAAGACATACCCATATCACTAGGATCTGAGGTAAGTGAGGTGATGATAGTATGCACAGTGTGCAGCCAGCAAAGAGGAGAAGCTCCTCACCTGGCCAGGAGCTGAGTGTGTTGGGGGGTGGGGAAGTCAGGGACAGCTTTCTGGATAAGACCATGCCTGGGTCTTAAAGGCTGAGCTGCAGTCAGCCAGGTTAAAGGAAGGGATGAGTTATGTGCGGGAAGGAAGGGCATCTTCACTGGTGAGGGGAGGTCAAGATAGGAGGTAAAGAAGGAGAACTCTAAGCAAATAGAAGTACTTTCTTCTTCTACTACTTAATAAAGTTCTTTTATTTGATAAAGAATCCAATGAATAGTGAATAGTTTAGAAATAACACATTAGCTCCTCTTGCCTTTCTTTGTTTTCGTCTTTTCCACTGAAAAAGAAAAGACGGGATAGTATATCATCAAAATTTCTTCAGATTATATATATATACATATATACATGTATATATATATAATGGAATATTATTAAGTCATAAAAGAGGAAATCCTACCATTTGCAATCCATAACATGGATGGACCTTGAAGGCATTATGCTAAGTGAAATAAGTCAGACAGAGAAAAGACAAATACTGTATGATCTCACTTATATGTGGAATCTAAAAAACAAAAATAAAAAAACACCAGACTCCTAGAAAAAGAGATCAGATTTGTCATTCTTAGAGGCAGGTGGGAGGTGGGGGAAGGGGAAATTGAAAGAAGGTGGTCAAAAGGTACAAACTCCACTTATAAGACATAAATAAGTCCTGGCATGTAATGTACAACACGGTGACTGTAACTAACCCTGCTCTATGGTGCATAGCGATGTTGTTAAAGGAGTAAATCCTGAGTTCTCATCACAAGGAAAATTTTTCTTTCTTTTCTTTTTATTGTGTCTATATGAGATGATGGATGTTAGCTGAACCTATTGTGGCAATCATTTCATGATACATGTTAATCAAACCTTAGACTTATACAGTGATAAAGATCAATTATTTCTCAATAAAACTGGAAAAAAGTTTGGACATATAAAAAAAATTTCAGGGCTCTGATACTATGTGATTTATATATTTAATTAAAATAAGGGAACAAACCCTTACAATGTTTGCTATTAAAAAACGGATATTATCTTTGGGAAAAGAATAAAACTGCGTTTCTTTTTAGACACAATTTATAAATCAGACTATTGGACTAGTACAGGTCTTTCCCTTCATGGAATCTGATTAAAATCAGCTTTACTGCACAGAGATTTGTTTTCACAGCAATTTCCCACGAAGGCGTTTTTCCACATATCAAGCAAATGTGGCCCTATCATATTCAGAATTTGAGATTCTTTTTAAAAATGAGAGAAGATTCAAACTATTGTCACTACCAACAAATGATAAATTCCTATTGAGAAAACTTCACACATTTGGGGTGCTGTTATTATGCTACTTTTAAGCTGTGGGAGAAATGGAAGGATTTTTACCATATATTTTTGTCTGAGGCGTAGAATTGTAATTTTTATACCATAGGTAGGAATGTGATTAAGAGTAACCGACTGAGAGGAACGCCCAAGGTTCCAGGGCTAGTGTGTTGTTAGTTCCCTATTGTCACCCATGCCTTAGGACACTTTCTGCTCCACTGTTGTGACAGAGGACGTTCTATACAAACATCACAATGTTAGGCAGAAAGAATATGGAAAGGGAAAGGACAAACGTGTGTGTGCTAGCCCTATCAGCCCCACCCAGTAGCTTCTGCTTACATTTTATTAGTCATGGGGCCACCCACCTGTAACGGGGGCTGGTAAGTAGAGCTTTGAGGTGATCACCGTTGCCAAAACCAAAAACTAAATTGGTTTTGTCAGTAAGGAATAAAGAGTAAATGTATATTGGGGTGCCTGGGTGGCTCAGTTGGTTAAGCAACTGCCTTCGGCTCAGGTCATGGTCCCAGGGTCCTGGGATCAAGCCCCGCATTGGGCTCCCTGCTCCACGGGAAGCCTGCTTCTCCCTCTCCCACTCCCCCTGCTTGTGTTCCCTCTCTCGCTGTCTCTGTCAATTAAATAAATAAATAAATAAATAATCTTAAAAAAAAAAAAGTAAATGTATATTGAGTAGGTAACTAGTCGTCTCAGCTACAAGTCTCAAAATAAATAAAAAAAAAAACCAAAAAACAAATCTGGCCCAGAGTTTCAAAATAAGACAATTAAAAGTCTAAGCCGACAAAAAGAATAGAATATCTAAGAGGAAAGTTAGGCTTATTGCCTAACTATACTATGTTGTGATGATCTCTTCATATTCATTGGCTGAGTTCGTTTGAGTACCATGAAGTAGAGAAAAAACCTGGAGGAGCAGTTAGGAGAAAAGGATTCTACTCTCAAATCTGCTACTCTATTACTTGCAGTAAATTTATCTTTCAGAATTCCAGACTAGATTAGTAATTACAGACTTTTTCTTACAACACCCTGAAACACTTTGTTCAAATGATGGCACTTGGGAAGAGTTAAGAGCAGCACCACTTGGAATGAAGAATATGTGGTGGTGGTAGATCAGAAATCCCACTTGGTTCTCCTCCCAAAGCCTCTCTGGGAAGAGACAGTTTCTGAGCCTCTTCCTGGCTTTATGATTCCATGTCATTTGTAAGCAGGGACCAAACCTTAGTTGCCCTAAGAAGCCATGTAGCACCACTCGGAATACATCATACATCTAGGCTCTGTTGTAACTATACATAAAACGTACTTTTGCGGCACCTGGGTGGCTCAGTCGGTTAAGCGTCTGCCTTCGGCTCAGGTCATGATCCCAGAGTCCTGGAATCAAGCCCGGCATTGGGCTTCCTGCTCAGCGGGGGTCTACTTCTCCCTCTGCCCCTCACCCAACTCGTGTTCTCTCTCTCTCATTCCCTCAGTCTCTCTCTCAAATAAATAAATAAATAAATTTTTAAAAAGTACTTTTAGAAACATTGTCTTTTTGTGTTTTCAACAGATGAATTGAATTTCCCTTTTTCATCTGTTTATTTCTATCAGTCTCTGTTTTGTAAAACTTCCTACTACATTCTTTTCAAAATGTGGAAATGGTATGAAGCTCCTGGGAAATTCTCAGAAGTTTGCAATTTGGATTTTTGCATTTTCCCTCAATTTGTTTGGCCTCCTACATGGATTTTTAGCCTCCCCCCCGCCCGATCTGCCCAATACTTAATTCACATTTACAACATCACACATAGCCCATGGGGGGAGTAGTAATGTTTTTGCTTTAAAGGTCACCATAACAGGAGGTCAGTGAAAAACCAAACATGGCTTTAAAAACATGAGAACAGAAAGACACCCACAAGACTGGGCATGTGGATTGAGTGCTAGATGGGTGGTCAACCCAACTCAGACAAGCCAGCAATAGTCCAACCACATAACAGACCAGGAAACTCCAAAGTTGCTAACTAAGAAGGTGGTTTTATGTTATTTAATTTTTTTCCCAAGAATTCTATTTCCAGTCACTACTATCAAGGGGTAGAAAATGTGCTGATTTCTTGTGTTAATTCATATTGACTTTTTATGTAAGGTGATTTTATGAAGATACAAAATGCATTTACATTTTAGAGTTTTATGAACAGAAAGCAATACTTAATATTTTCCTAGTATACCATTTGAAGTAATCATAAATATTCCTTAATTTTTGCATAATATATGTTTAGAAATTCAAAGTAAACTTTTAATGAACTGGTGGTTAGTATAGTTTGATTAGTTTAATCTTTAATATTCTGAGTAGAATCTTAGACTTATAAAATCTTATCATTTTAAATTTGTCTGTTAAATCACGGGTTAATGGAGTATTTCCTTTTGGGGAGGGAATCACAAGTTTAGAGTTTTCAAAATTAATTTGGAAATTGGAATTTATAAAGTGTCTGAATTGCTAAAATTTTTGCATCCATTCACATAAGAAAATGTTGTGACAGTTTGGCATTTAATCATTAAATAAAGACCCAACATGCTTGTTCAGTTATCAGAACCCATTATTTGGACTCTGGCATTCACATCAAATTGATTTATTTTGGTCATTCACCCTTAAGATGGAGTTAGAGACAATACTTTTTCACATGCAGAAAGTTAGAATATGGAATAAAAAGAATGTCCATTACTTTTTCTTTTTAAATTATAATAGAATATCTCTGGCTTAGATCTTTTTTCCTCATTTCTAGACACATATATAGTAACTCCTTGACATATGTGATGGAATTATTATTGGAGAAACATGAGCAATCCAAAAGTGTGTTTATCAAAAATAATTTTCCCATAAGAAATCACGGCAAAGAACTTTATGATATAATTTTCAAAGCTGTGTAGCTGCCTGTTAATTTTCTATATGTGGGCAGACTGACCCAAAACACCAGGGACCGCATTCCTTCACATCTGGGTATGCCCAGAAGAGAAGATTCGTTTCCACCCCTCCTGCCCTTACCTTTTTGTGCCCTGCGGAGCACTGGCCAATAAACATAGCCCCAGGGAAAGATTTCCATGACGCGGTGTTTTGGTTTTTTTTTTTGTCTCCTACCAAACTTCCCAGGAAGCAAGACATAGTTTTTTCTGCTGTGATTCAAGGCTAAATCAAAAGTGATTGAAATTCCAAAAGCAGATTTTGCAGTGTGGATATTTCAAGCACAGTGCAAATTCCATCAGCCAGGTATATTACTACAAAACTACAAAATGGGAAGTCTCGAGTTAGCAGCAGGCTTACAGTGCACTGGCTGGTTTACTACTTGCAGTGGGGGCATGTGACTGAAATTAGGGCTGGGTAGCAGGGTAAATTATATAACTAAAGAAACCAAGAAGTACGGTCTACTGGATTTTCTAGTGGCCTTCTCAGCTTGCCCCAAACTGGTCCCAGTGTCTTCCCTCCCAAACAGGCTTATCTCTCAGGATTGCTTATCTCACCTGAACTTCTATGATAACCCCTCAACTGCTTCTCCTGTGTCCTTTACACTTGGGCCAGAATGATTTTTAAAAAAACCTAATCTGAGCCAGCCACTCATCTGGTAAAATTTCTG